ACACACACACACACACACACACATACACACACACGCACATACACACACGATGCTAATAAATCAGAAATGTAGCAAACAATTTAAAATTTAAAATTTAAAAGAGTGTAGATCTAGACGCTAGCTGTAGTGCAGAGAACGAAGACACTGTCACAACTGACGGGCAAAGTGGAGTTTGACCAATGTCATTAACGTGAGCTCAATCCGTGAACGAAAAATCATTGAGCAAATGTTCATGAAGTTTGAAAAAACAACAAGGTGTGTGTGTGTGCTTGAAAGGGTGGGGGGTGGAAAAAGAAATGAATGAAATGAGTGAATGAAAGAGAGAGAGAGAGAGAGAGAGAGAGTGAAAGAGTTAGAGAAAGACAGACCGAGAGCCAGAATATCAGCATAGGCCTACCATTTTCACAGCTCATGCATTTAAGCACACACAAGGAAAATTGACACAAACCAATTGAACTAAATGATGAACATGCATCCACACGCGCTCCAAATTCTTCAGCCTTGTCTTACCTTGCCATCACTATCATATCTGGTCACAATCTGAAATCTGCCTTCATAATCCCCATTGACATAGTTCAAGAAAGCTACAGTTCTACGGTTGGTGTAGTCGTAAGCAACAAACGCCTTTTCCTGAAAAAATAAACAATTTAAAGAGTAAATGAAAACCGTGCTCATCACAATTAGTAAAAAATTACAAAACATTTTCTATGTTGTGGAAATCATTTTCATGCACCCCAAATCACAAAACAGGATTGAAAAATACTGATATATCTTTACTCGTAAATCTCTGGCTGATGGGAACTGAACAATCAACATGACGTGTTATGATATGATTTTAATTACTGCCCCTTTCCACACTGTTTGGTCATCCAAAAAGCCATTTAACATAAGTCTCTGATGAAAATTAGTCTTAAAGTACAGGGTGATCCAAAAAAAAACTGTACAACTTTTTTTCTTCACATCTCGCACAAAATTTGTACTAGAACGTTGTAATTTGGAACAGATATAATTCATTCAAAAGGAATTTGTTAGACAAAAAAATCACATAGAAGAAACTTATTTTCAAACATTGAAATGGCGTTTATAAAAACCACCTGTAAATGTAAAATGCACCAATTTAAAAATCTTGTCAGGAAAGTCATGAAATGATTGGTTTGTTTTTTTCCTTTTCTTCTCTTTTAGAATTTAATCTTTCCATCCCTGTAAATTTTAAACAACACTTCTTTTCTCCTACGAAGTTAAAAAAATATATCTTTAAATTCTGGAATTCCAAGAACCAATGGTCTATATGTCCTCCTTTGGACTCGACACATTTTAACTCTTCGTTCGCAATGTTACGAGGTGGCCAAACACAAGGATCCACTCAATCATCAGTGCTCAAAGCCACACACACTGTACACCTTACAGTATGAAGCTGTTTCTAAAGACAATTAGGGGGGGGGGGGGGGGTGAGGTTGCCCAAATTGACAGCATTTGTGGAGTTGATATAACCTGAAAGGTGAATATGGGCTTTGCAAAGGAACAAAATGTCATAGTGGAAATTTTCAAGACAATTGAGGAATCATTAACTCATTGCTATCCTCTGATAGCTTCGCAAACGGGAAAATAGTACAGTCGTAAATGAAGATCTGCCTTGAGAGCGCGGACCATTGAGTTGTAGGACAGTCATTGCTGCAGACATCTCATTGGGCCCATCTACTGAATGCTGCACCTTGGTGAAGTTTAAAGGGGTGCGAACGGTGTTGGGTTTGACCTGAAGTGGTCATTTTGTTTGGGAATTTTTAGTTCTGATTCTCTACAGGTCATAATTGATGGACCATTTCCACCCTTGACATCAAAGAAGACATTAATGGCACTTTAACAGTTTCCGTACCTTGTGCAAAACTTACAAAATGAGTTGGCAGTGAGGAAATGTTCAATACAAAAGGCTCTCTTTTCTTTACTCATCTTAACCATGACCTCATTACGCAAATGAAACTTGAGAAAAACTATCTGCAAACTTCTGTTGGCCTCTTAGACTACTGCAGTTTGCAATATGTCACAATCGTTGGGATTTTTAGTGGTGGGACTAATGCGAACTACTGCGTCATGCTACAAAAATAGGGACATATCTGAAAATGGGTAGTTTTTTTAACGCGCTATGTAGAACTATTCAGTGGACTTATAAAAAATGAATATCAGACAAATTCCTTTTGACATCTAAATATTGTGTACAAATTTGAAACGCAAAACTTTAGTGTGGAGGAAAATATTAACCAAAAAAGTTGTACACTAAGTCTTGTAGATTAAACTATGAGTGGTAAAAAAGAAAAGAAAATAGTAAAAAGACTTACTTTTAGAATTCCTCTCTGAAAGGCTCGAGCATATCCAGCAAGAGCTCCTTCCTCGCCTTCCCACTGGTCCGGGGTGCAGCAGGTCCAGGCACATGCAGCAAAGGATGCCACCAAGATTAAACTCAGCCTGGAATTCATTGTCACTGCAAACAAAGAGGGAAAATAACTTAACTGTTTTAATATCTGCTTTATACAATGATGATGATGATGATGATGATGATGATGATGATGATGATGATGATGATGATGCTGATGATGATGATGATGATGATGAACATGATGATGAACATGATGATGATGATGATGATATTTCAAGCTCACACTGACACAATTTAGATCATTCAGGAGGATATGGCAGCATTGAAAATTCTGCAAACCTCGGCTGCAATGATGTATCTCAGCATAAAGACGAAATATAATTCTTGTTAAGAAAAGCACACAGACAAGTAATTGCCTTTTGCAAAAGGGAAATGCAAACAAGTGGACAGATCCAATACTGAGAAAGAAAAGACATAGACCTTACCAGTGGTGCCCACTAACCCCCCACCAAGAGATACAACATCCCAATGGAATGAGGAGCCCTTCCCAGGAGGACATGCCCAGCAAGAGCAAAAGTGGAAGTGACGTGGAAATTGAGATGGGTTTTTAAGCATTAAATTGGAAATCATGTACCATCATTTTTGTCTGCTTAAACTAAGCCAATCACCTCAGGGGCTTGCTTAATTAGTGTCAGTACAGATCATTGCAATGGGTTCTGTAATGATAAACATTGTTTGTTCGAGTAAAGAGAAGCACATCGACACTATAATGAATAGTCATTCAGTGTTGGGAAAAAGTAAGACAGACAGACAGAATCAACAGGGGAACAGTAAAGAAGTAGAACCTGCCAGTGGCGCCCTCCAACTACCCACATGATAAAAATTCCATGACACCACATTAAAGTAGCCATATAGAGAAAGGATCAATGAGTTTAAAATGCATGGTCTGTCCACAACTTATAGAGCGTCTCCAGCTTTAAGAGTAAAGCAAACTTCACTGACTTGATCTTGATCCAGGAAGAAGATAAGCTCCTGATAAAGAAAAAAAATCCACTGTAACAGATTGTGACACAACCTTCATTAACATATTTGAATAGCTTACTCTCACTGCCATACTTTTAAAAAAGCGAAGAAAATATTAAGGAGCCTTTTAGTCACTTTTCACCTATAGCAGAGCAAACTGGAATATTTATAAAATAGGCCCTAAAATGATCAATCTTGAAATGAGTAAGCCTAGGCTACAAGAAATTAAAGGATTTCAAACACATTACACTTCTAGTTCCTAGACAAATAGTACATTAACTCATCCTACCGATTAAACTTAAAACACGCATACATTACTCACTACTTGTTTTCAGTGATAGTTCTTTCACAGGAGAAGACCGGCGGCACCGGTCACTTTTTGTCGGCCCGACAGTGGACAAAAGATTGATTGCTGACAATAATTTTCATTTAGTTTTAAGTAAATAATATTATGGTGCAATCAAAAGTTCATGCCGCAGCTTATCTTAAAATATCTCTTTAATGAGTGAATCAATGTCACCCATACTTTGCAAAGCAGTTTGTAGTTTGTATCAATCTGTGTCTTAACTTAATCATATTTTCACAAACCAATTGAGCCTAGATTAAAAAACTGCTCTTTATAAATTTGTATAAAATATTATAAATCTCCGTAATGTGGAGAATGGGATTGTTCACAGCACTGTCCTGCTTCTCACACACATTTTGCATGTATGCATATATTACTATACGTTCTTAACTACATGCCACCCAGTCGACTACAAGCCCTCAGGAGATAGGGGCCTACTTCCAGGCCCACAGGTAGCAGATGCCCCCCGTCTCTTATCTTGCTGCCTCGCAAAGCGCTGGCCTACGTGTGTTCGTTTGGTATCGGGTATCCGATTACCACTTAATTGCATTACCGCTCACGGCGACACCTCTTGTTTGTCTGTAGTTTAAGAGACTGGTATCGACGCCCTTTAATTAAGAAGTAATCAAAGAGACCACCCATTTGCCTTACACGGCGCGAAGTTCGTTTTGTGTGTTGTGTGTTGTTGTGTTGTTACCACCTCCAGCATTTTGTGTGCGTTGTTTTCTGAATATCTGCTCCTTTTTTCTGGATTATTTTCACACGTGTATAACTTGGAGTACTTGTACATTATTCTGTCGATGATTATTACCTTGCACTCTTGTTTTATCTAAACAATATCAGTGGTGCTTACTTTCATTGTGGGATTAAGTAGCTGCTGGAACTAGCACCGTTTATTTCAACCTCTGCTGTTCATCAAGATGGCGAGGAGTCCGAGGGGCCAGACAGGATAGATACTTATAGTGCTTCAAGAACATTGAAAAGCGGTGATAGCGGTAAATATAATTTGAACCAACACAATTAACGCACATACATGATCTCGTTATCTTTTTCAGCGATGCAGTGTGTCTACCAGGACTTATTGTACATGTAATATTTACTGTTGTTTCACGTACTTTCTTTTCTATTACAACATGATGCAGTACAAATTCTGCTGTGAAGGATGGCAACAGTAGAAGAATGCGACTTCTTAGAATGAAAGTAATTTTTACTACACTTTACTTGTAAACATTGGAAGAAATATTATGTGAACGGTAATTGTAGATCTGGATAGAAATCAGCCTAGTGATCAGAAGGTGGCAGTCTACAAATTTCCCAAAGACTTCGAGAAAGCAAAGCTTGGGTGGCCAGTTTGCCTAATAAATGGAAGTAGAGGGTGTCACTGATTTTATAGTTGTACCTTGCTTTGGCCTAAAAAATGTACAAAATAGAACTTACAACCTGGAAGAGGGCATCGTCTAGCAGTACCTCCAACACTTTTCCAAGTGCCGAAATCGTATGTGTTATCCCGAAGTAAGCCCCGACCAACTACAAATTGATGTCGTGCTATGGACATTGATTTGATTAAATAAACGCCTTTAACAAAATTTAAAGCCGATGCATTTGACGATCAGTTCATATCGATACTCATGAAACATGGAATAGTTGCAACCGATGAGGAACTGTCACAGTATCATTTTCTTTGGTAAAGAAAGAGATGGTGCTATTCCAAAAGTTTAAGTCTATTTTCAAGTTATTAGTTCCTCTACTTTTGTTTTCATCTCCTTTGAATCATACAGATCACTCGTAAGAGTCTCCCGACTTTTCCTGAAATCAGTAAGTCGAGAGTGTAAACTCACAGAATTGCTTCGTTTTGTTAGGTCAGAAGAAAAAAATGACAGGAAATTTGAATTTTTTTATTGTTGGATAAATTGTTCTTTTGAACTCCCCAAGAAATGGGCGACTGTATAGTGTTGTTTGTGTATGTTTCCAGTGTGTTGTTTTCTAATTATATATATATATATATATATATATATATATGGGGAATTCTCCTGAAAACTTGAACATGCGCATACCCCTTACTGCAAACGCCATAAATATCTTTCTTTATTTCAAATTATTGTTAAGATGAGCTAAGCCGGTGGGGGAAAGGTTGCCGAACCTGGACTAGGCAGAAAATATGCAATGAAATGATATGCTGAAACAGTGTGGGGGGTTTTTTGTTGAAAAATCAGCATTTTTTAGGTATGAAAACGTAACATTCACCAGAGACAGTTTTCATCCGAAGATTTCTCTAAGAACTGCCTGCTTATCATTTTCGTAATTATGTGTAAATACTGATCTTAAGTAGAACTTTCAGGGTAACCGACAAATATATGCTTAATACGGCCCATTTGTTCGCACAAAAGACATAAAATTAGGTCTTAAACGCTATCGTCTCGTCCGAAAAATGATAAAAAATAGTAACCCTATCTTGAGTTCAATCGATCGTTTAAAAAGTGTAATTGTTTATTGTAGAACTAGAAATGCGATCACTTTCGTCATTTCATCAACCAAGAACAAAATTACTACACCGATTACGAAATTTTGGCGGTAACTAGTAGCGTCTTTGAATTTTTGTCACGTTTTAAAGATTAAGATCTGCATGTTTACTTCTGCCGGAAGTAGCTCGAAATTTTAGTGCGGTGTTTTTATATCAAGTGCACTGGTTTCCAATCAACTAGGCTTTCATCTATTCCCCGGCAAGACAACGGTGTCTAAAGAAAGTGAATATGAATGACTTCGTCACGCAATTTCTAGCGGTTAACGATTAAGACGTAAAAAAAGTAATGATGAAGACTTGAATTGCTTTAAAATTTGCTTTCTTTTTTATACGACTGCAAAATGTGTGATTCATTGATGAAATCTTAATGCCCCTTAAGGAGTTTGGATCCTGCCAAAACAAGGATTGTTGGTTTTCATAGTGTTTGTTGTATCGAAATGGAAATTGGACAAAGAGCTTGATTTCTTTATTTTAACGATTTAGCCTTGGTCTTTGTGTTATAATCTTTGTAAAATGAGTAGCTTCTTTAAGAATTTCATTTCAAGGATTTCATGCGTTGATGCCACATATTTCTAGCTTTGGGGATGACAGTTGGGGCAATTAAAGGTGACAACTTGTTATCGTTGTCTGAAACATTGCAAATACAAGGATAAGGCTGCTTGGCTTGGTGTTTGAAATATTTAACATCGAACATCAGTAATTTATCTTTGTAGACAGACTACGTCAATGGAATGCAAAGTATATTGATATGTCCTATTCTGGGTAATGTCACACTGTAGGCTTGGTGGTGACGAGGCGTAAACACAGTGAACAAGGCGAAGAGGGAGACGCAAGTGATGTAACGTTGTGTGGGATTTTCTATGTCAATTTTAGTTTCAGTTGAAAATGAACTGAAAAATATTGGCGCCGTTTCTCCTGATCGACGTGGTAACTCTAAAGAGAAAAGAAAGAAATAAGTAGGCGAACCCGATTACTTAAATGCGCCATAAGTTTTGGTGAATTTCACCTCTTGAAGAGAAATTTGCCAGACGACCAAAGCAGATGTGCAGATTCAGTTTGAATGAGTCGTGATTCCTTTTTCTATTTGCATGAAATGTTAATGGTTAAACTTACCTAACAGAATACTAACTTAAGACATCCCATCTCGACGATTGAGAAAGAAAGAATGAGAGAGAAATGGAAAGAGTGTTAAGTACTTAAGAAGGGAATGTTATG